GATGTGGCCCAACCGTAATTGTTCCTGCACAATTTCCTTTAAAGCCTGTAGCTTTGTCTCAGGCAATGGCCACTGCTCCACCCATACTGGCACTCCAGGGGACCACTAGATAGCCAGAACCTGAGGGGCAGTGCCCCTTAGAATTGGGGGTGAACCTGATGTTCTTTTTTTGAGTCCCTCCCTGTAATTGATATGGAAAGACAACCCCTGAGTTGCTGACTCAGGAAACCTATCAGACTCTTCAACGTCCAAAAAGTCATCATAAAAGGCCTTGCTATCAGTGGTTATGCAGTTCCAGGGGACCACTAGATAGCCAGAACCTGAGGGGCAGTGCCCCTTAGAATTGGGGGTGAACCTGATGTTCTTTTTTTGAGTCCCTCCCTGTAATTGATATGGAAAGACAACCCCTGAGTTGCTGACTCAGGAAACCTATCAGACTCTTCAACGTCCAAAAAGTCATCATAAAAGGCCTTGCTATCAGTGGTTATGCAGTCCTATGCATACCCCAAAATATCTTGTCCTATGAGGTTGGCAGATAACCCTGCTACCACCAGGGGTCGCACGTCCCCTTTAGCTCCATCTGCATCCTGCCACATGAGCCATTCGCAAATCTCCTCTGATGGGGTGTATCCTCCCACACCTAGGATTTGGGGCCCAGAAACTAGGTGCCATTGTGATGGGACCTCTTCCTTTCTAAGAATGGTCCTATCAGCCCCCGTGTCTCCTAGGCAGGTAAACCTCCTGCCATCTATTTCAAGATCCATCTTCAGCCTTACGCCAGGGATAATAGGGACTGTCCAATTTGCCATATGTTTTTCTCCTCTCCCGATCCCTCCCCGAGGGCATTGTAAATGTAGCCGATCCTGGGGAAGTCCTTCTTTTGTCAACGGGGCTGGAGGCTGTCCCTCACTTAGTTTAAAGGCTTTCCTTCAATATCAAATCTGGATTTACAATCCTTCTGCCAATGGAACCCTTTGTGACACCGGGGACAGGGCATAGATGGGGGTCTTTTTGATACCCCACCTCCAGGCTTAGGCCAGTTCTCTCACTGAGGACAATTTCTTTTAATATGGCCAGTTTGGCGACAGCCAAAACATGGGCCTTCTATTCCTCTAGGCCCCGTTGTTACCTGCTGTCCCAGATTAAGTGAATTAAATGCCTGGGTTAGCACATGGGTCAGAGCTTCTCTTTGCATCTGTAAGACAGAAGCCATGGCTTTGGTTTGCACCCTCTGGGTTCCCACCTCCTTGGAGGCAATTATCCATTGCTCCATGGTCCCGTCCTTAATTAAGGCCAGCACAGGCTATCTTGTGATCAGCACCCATTCCATCCCGTACCAGGAGTTTAGTGAATTGCTCCCTCAATGGGCCTGGGGGTAATTTTCATTTTAAGCTCTTCTCTACTCTGTATATAAACTTGTAGAGGAGTTAATTTTCTCCAAGCATTTAATCCTATGACCCTGACCTGTTCTGTATATGGGGCTGGAATGCCTGACTGTTGCTCCCCTGTGGCATAACGGTCACTTGAACCAGTCAACATCCCAAAGTAATGGGGACCGGTGTGTTGGCACTTGCATTCCTTTCAGCCTGTATCCTGCATTCCTCCTTAAAGAGGGCACACCATTTAATATATATAGGGCTAGGAAGGACTGCTTTGGTGAGGTCCAGCCCATCCTTTGTAGTACACTGCTGATGAGCCAAGCCTTGGAGGAGAGTATCTACCCAGGGTGATCCCGGGCCATCCTCAGCTACCACCTTTTTAAATTCCTTTAAGTCCTTCACCTCCGAGGGATGCCAGGGGTCAGGGCGTGTGCCTCCTGGGCTACATTAATAGGATACGCTTCCACCCGTGGCCTCACAGAAGCCTCCTGAGTGGGGCCAGGATCCTGGAAATGGGGACGGTTTTCAGGGGTTTCAGGAAGCCCTGAAGCTGGCCAGGGCACACTCGAGGTGCCGCTTGTTACTTTGGCCGCTTTTGGTTTCACTTCTGTTGCTCTTCTGCATTCTTCCTCAGACTCTTCCCATGATTCTCATGCTGGGGTTTCTGAAGGCTCGTCAGGAGGTGGTGCCAAGGGCTATGGCTCTCAGGCCAAAAGCATGCCTTTAAGGCTGAAATAATAGGGTAGAACTCCAGCAGCGGATCAACCCCCAATTGAACCTCCCTTTGTCAAGCTAGGCATTCCACATGTTCCCATGTATCCTCAGTAAAAACATTAGCCCCAAGTAGCCAGGGAGCCAAATTACTCACCTCTGCCCAAACCTTTTGAGCTACCCGATCTGAGAGATACAATCCCCTGCTTTTAAGGATATCTCTCAGTGCTTTAAGCGCTGGGTCCTCAGGCTTAAAAGTTGCGTTACACATATTTCGGGTCTCGCTTACCCCGAACTTCCAGATTGGTCCCAATCCATTTTTCTTCTTTCTTTCTTTTCTTCTTTTCACCTTCCTTCGAGTGCCATGCTGGGCACCAGTTGCCAGGAGTTCAAACCAGCGACCTCCAGGCGGTGATGATTGTGGATGAGTCAGTGTGCCATTCGACAGCCCACGCTGCCCCCAGTACCCGGAACACTCAGACACAATGGGGAGCCTAGTCAAGCAGGGACTCATTTATTGCAGGTGTTACAGAGCTTATAAACTCACCTGGATATCCCCCCCCCCGGGTGTATCTTAAGGATGGTCACGTGCAGATCATGCACTCCTCAGCAGTGCAGAAGTATTCTTCAGACTTTTAAAGCAAGTCAGGCTGTGCCCCAGTAAGTTCCTCTTGGACTTCTGCAAGGCGGGGCCTTTAGGTCCCCACAGATTTGGTTTCCATTCTTTTTGTCCTTCCAGTTTTTTATTTTTCCTTTATGTTAGCAGGTGTTATTGCTGAATTCCAAATGTGCATATGCTAATGGAAAGCGTTTTTCTTTTTCTTCCCCTTTTCCAGGATGGCTTTACTCCTCTTGCTGTAGCACTCCAGCAGGGACACAACCAAGCAGTGGCCATTCTCTTGGAGAATGATACCAAAGGGAAAGTGAGGCTGCCAGCTCTGCACATTGCAGCCAGGAAAGATGACACCAAATCTGCTGCACTCCTGCTTCAGAATGATCACAATGCTGACGTACAATCCAAGGTAAGAGCCAGATACAGCTGTGGAGAGGAACTTTGAATACCAGGTTTCCCTGGGTGAGGATCAAGGAATAACATATAACTTATGTCCAGAGGTATTTCAAAGAGAAAAGGATTATCTACTGAAGACAGTAACAAAAAACATTAATTGCTAAAGAGTTTTCTTTAAAAAATGACCTCTGCTGTTGAGATATTTGCTTCCTTATTCTGTTTACATTATAAATAATACAAAGAAAGAATTGGAAAGTAAAGCTACAGTGTAATGGAATTATCTTTTCCCAGTAGACTACATTTTGGCATGTTAGAATAATATACTCACATGCACTGAGAAGATTGTCTAATTTTGCATTGTGTAATATCTTCCTTCTTTTCCCCCCAAAACACTGCTTCAGATGATGGTGAATAGGACAACTGAGGTACAGTATAGCCATTATAAAAGCATTTACCTTGTTTTTGTTTATTTTTACTTTTGGGCCACTTAGAATAAATGCTCACTAATTCATACTAATGATTAAAATTCCATTAATGAGGAAATTATTTAGAAAAAAACCCCATAATTAAGGAACATTGATAATTCAAATATATTTGATGCAGCATGTATGTAAAGCATTATTAAACAATTATTTAAATAGTTTAATAGACCCAGCATGAAATGAAGCAGTACCATTGCTTATATTATAGTGAATGTGCTGTACTCTTTTGCAAAGAGATGTGATTGCTTCCTCTTAATGAAAATGTACACATTAGACTTAAGGGAAGTGAAAAGTAGCAAGGTTTCTCTGTTACTGCACTTTTATCTTTTTTTAAATCTTATTGCCATTGCCCTTTTTTTCTGAATGTTTTTTTCTTTACCACATTGTTTCTGATCAATAATGATATTTAGCATATCATGAGCAAATCAATTACTTTTCTCCTGTAAGTCCTAAAATACTTTCCATTAGTTCATTTTCATTTCCAAAGTAAGTTATGATAAGCAAGAACATTCAGTTCAGAAGCCTGGGGTGTGTGTGTGTGTGTGCGTGTGTGTGTGTGTGTGTTCTCTCCCTGATCATTGCTTAGAGATGCACTAACATAAACATCATTAAAAGCATGTTATAAAAATTAATCTATATGGGGATGGAGACATGACTCAGTAATTAAGAGCACTGGCTGCTCTTGAAGAGGACCTGGGCTCAGTTCCCAGCACCCATATGGCAGCTGACAACCATTTGTTACTCCAGTTCTAGTGGCTCTGATGCCTTCTTCTGTCCTTCATGGGCAGGAAAAGTACTCACATATAAAATAAAAATAGAATAAATAATCCCTGCTCAAAAGCAAAGAACTATTTATGAGGATTTGCTTTGATCAAGGGATTTTTTAGAATAATGTTATTTCATCACTAGGTTGGGGAATTAGAGTTTTAGCACTCTGGCCATTCATCACAGCACTCACAGAAGTGACCATGTATTTCTCAAACTCTCATTTTCTTAATTAAGATATTCATCTACTGAGATGACAATTTACCTGAATTATTTAATTATTTATACAACATTTTTGTGCGTGGACTCTGTCAGGGAGAGGGAGGGAGTAAAGTAGGGAGAGAGGTGGAGGGGAGAGAGAGAGAGAGAGAGAGAGAGAGAGAGAGAGAGAGATGCTTGGTGAAATTGTTCAGAACTAGATTCATACAAATTGATCTTAATTACTGATTTTAGTGCCTTGAATTTCTCATTGTGAACTGTGAGAATCAATATTGCTTCAAAACATTTGTTGACGGTAATGTTTTGAGTGGATTTGTCCTGAGTTACAAATATTTCTTTGAAAGTATTAGAATAATAACAAGGAGGGAAAACCTTCTGTCTGTAATCCTGCAGAAGGGTGAGCTCTACCTTCCACGCCCATATTAATCAGGGAGGAGTTCCTTTAGAGTCTTCACACCAGCTGAGGATTAAGGCAAGATTTCACAGACTGAGACATTATATTATGGTCAGTTATTATGACCAGCGAGAAAGGGTCAGGCAATAAATTAACTTATTTTTATAAATGCTAAAAATAATAACGTACTTGAATAATTTGGAAATAATTCACCAGCAATGGATATAATTTTCTGAAATAAAATCTTAATTTGAATAATAGACATATATTAAGGATATGTCTAGATGACAAGAAGTCCCAAAATAAAAATGAAAAAAATACCTCACTCAGCTATGTTTTAAAATCTAAACAGGTTGTATGCTAATTTCTCCCTTTGTTTAGCATGAATACAGCACCACTTACACGCAAAGTAAGATTGCCTTGATCGCAGTTGTGGGGTTTGAATTAGCAGTTACTAGTCTTATTTTGTATTCTGCTTCTCTACAGTCAGAAATTGTTTGAAGCTAATGTTACTAATAGCATAGGGAAGATTCTATTACATAAGTCATCTGAATGCTTGTCTGAGGGCTTTGATAATATCATCAAACTCTATATCCAGTCAATAGAAAAGTAGTTTGACTTAAGTATTTCTTAAAAGCAGTAAGGCATTTATTAAAGTTTATTTCCAATAAAAGAGAATAGGAAAACCTGTAAACCATGGGATGTGAGAGCCGATTAGTGCTGTCTGGTTTCCTATATTATTTCATCAAGTCATGAAAACTATAGAGTAAGGAAAAGTATCAGATCTTTGAACACTTCAATAAGAAACAAAGTTAATATTAATCTGTTGCAATGAATAGTAGAAATATCTAACTACATTTTATCAGAATAAGAAATGAAAAGTAATACTTCTCTTCATTTTAAATTCTCAGGGTTTGTTTTAAAAACATTTTGTGAGTAAACAATTCTTTGATGCCTACATAATTGTTTTAATGTGGTTGTATTAATCATATTTTATTTTAGTGATAAAACTAATTCACATTCAAAATTGGACTAAACTCAACTATTTTCTTCATTTCATGTCCATATTGATACGAAGTATATTAATATTTGTCTTTAAGTGTTTTTATTATGAACCATAGTCTGACTAAGCAGTTGTGAATGACGATAGCAACATCAGTGTAAATGATGTAGAACAAACTGTACATCCTTTGTAAGAGTTTCTCACCATATTATCCCAGTTCTGAAGATACAGTGCTAACCAATGCTGTTTTAAAAAATAGGAAAACAGGACTGGGGAAATGGCTCAGTGAGTTAGAGTACTTGCTGACCAAGTATGAGCATGAGTGCCTGAGTTCCAGTCCTCAGCACCCATGTGAAAAAAGCTGAGTACAGCCAGGCCCACATTTGTCACCCCAGGGGTATGGGGAACAGAAACAGGAGAACCGCTGAGGCCTATTAGCTGCCAGCCCAGCTCCGTGTTTCAGTGAGGGAGCCTGTCTCAAGGGAATAAGACAAGCATGTGCACAGAGGTATATATAATCACACATATGCACCACACATATACCAACCCACACCAAAACCAAACAGCAGAATAAAATCATTGGCTGTTAAAATCTTTCTTAGATACAGACTTTATTCATCACTGTTATTCTGGTGCTTGAAACCTTATTTTGTTTCATCATTTTATGTTTTTTTTCTAATATGCTAAAGTTTAAGAAACATGATTTTGTATAAACATCTACTCTCATAAATTAAAAAACAAATTTTCCAGTAAATGTAGGGTATTTGTCTTTCTATTTGCCTATTTACCACCTTATAACACTAAAATATGGAGTCATACTAAAGCGTTTGTTGTCGGAATTGTGTGGCTTTTACAACCACCGGTTACCATATCACCTCCTTTCTTTCCCCAGAGCGGCTTTACCCCTTTGCACATAGCTGCACACTATGGAAACGTCAATGTCGCAACTCTTCTTCTAAACCGGGGAGCTGCAGTGGACTTCACCGCCAGGGTACGCATTAAGGCCATTTCTCATATTACACAACAATACATGTGTATTTTATGAAAGTAATTATGAGCATTAATGGCCTCCTTTAAGGTTTTTTTCCTGTCTTTAACTTTAAAGATGCTGTAATTTTCATTTTCTTATTCAAATCACAGGATATCATAATCCTGCAAATAGAAAATAAGAATTTGTCCATAGTTAAGGAAGCTAATTTGACAGCAGTTTGAACTGCTATATTTAAAGATAATGCCAAAAATCATGAATGATTAGCTTTAGGTCAGTTGACAATGTAACTGCTAAAATATTAAGCGCAATTTATGTAGGGACTGTATCTTACAAGTGGGCACACAATTTGATGGGAATTTTTTTCTCTTTTGATTTAGTGAGATTTTACTCATATGATGTCTCCCTAAAATACACAGAAAGGCAGCATGTGGCATATGTGCCTAATGGTATGCTTCTTTTGGAAAGAATTCATTTGCATGGTAGTTATAAAATACATATACATGATAATATTTAACATAATTCAATTGATGCAATACTTAAATATTTGAAACATTATGACATGTAAAAAATCAAGCACATGTCCTTGTTGTAATGATGGCATAAGATAGCTATAACATAATCAATACTATTTATGTGTGTACTATTGTCCTTAGAAGTCTCCTGTACAAGCCATGTAGGTAGCATATGCCCATAATCCTGGGGCTATAGAGGATGAAACTGGATGCTATCTAGCTTAATGGCCAACTTGGGCTACATATCAGGCCAGACTATATGAGATCCTGTTTCAAAAATTTTTTTTAAAAAAAGCTTTTATACTGAAACTATGGTGCTTTCATTTCCTGTTGTTTTTTCCTGAATCATTTTTTTCTACTAGGTATGTAGGTATTAATAGATATATTTCTCTTCTCTTCTTTCTCTTTCTTCCTCCCCCCTTCCTCCCACCCTCCATTCCTTCTTTCCTTCCTTCCTTTCTTTTTTGCCTTTTTGAGGCAGGGTCTCCCCATAGCCACAGCTGGCCTGAAACTCAGTCTTACTATGTAGACTAGGCTGGCTGGCAGTTCCTCTTGCCTCTGCTTCCAGAGTGCTGGAGATCGGATTGTAGGTGTGCACCACCATGCCCATGTTTTCTGTTTTTGAGCATACAGAATTTTGAGATCTTAAACTCTAAATCACATGAGTGTTAAAGAAAGCTCTTTTTATTTTTTTTAACGAAGGTTCTTCCTGTCTTCAGTAAAATGTGAGGCTTTGTTTCTATTATACAGATGTCATCCCTTTGTCTCTAGATTGTAATTTAATGCTTTAATATGTACATTATAGTTATTGACTAACTTATGCAGTTTTATTCCATTTTTATTTTCTAATAATAGTATTCTATAGTTTATGTACATCTTTGTTCCTTAAAATAGAAGATATTGAAACTAGGGACTGTGGATGGACCACGTTACCCCACTCGTCACCACCTCCTTTGTGTCCTTTCTTGCCCTGTCAAATCCAACCTGCTCTGTTTGGTTTTTCCATGGTGTAGAATGGAATCACTCCCTTGCATGTGGCTTCGAAAAGAGGAAATACCAACATGGTGAAACTCCTACTGGATCGAGGCAGTCAGATCGATGCCAGAACTCGGGTGAGTATCTCAGAGCTTCAGTTTTCTACTGTTCTCACTATAGTCAGTAAACACAAGCCCTGTGCTTTCAAGGAAATTGCTTCTTGCATTTGACAATATCTCTATATTTAAAGCTTTCAAGTAATAAAGCAAAATTAATGTTTGCTCATAAATACCTAGAGGAACAATGCAGTATGACAGTTTTTCAAGTTTTTCTGAGTTCCTGGGAATGAAGATCAAAGACTGTACTAACACTCTTTTGGGAAGTCATCAAGACAGCACATTGGCACATACTAGGTTATGAGAACATGGCTTTTGCACAGTGTTTTCATATATACTGACAATTTTTTGCTCCTAAGTCTTCAATCTCTAAATCATTAAAAAAAATTTTAGTAAATTTTTGTGTATTTCATACAGAACATATTAATCATGTTTATACCCCCTTCCTCATTGGCCCCTTCCATAACCCCTCCACTAGAATTCATGCATTCTGTCATTTGTGTTAAGGCCTATCATGTTAAGTTAGTGTGCCCAGATGTCCCTTAGTGAAAGTTCATCCACTGAGGTCTAGTTAGCCTATCTAGAGTCCCTGCCTTTAAGAAAATCAGCTCTTCCTCATCCAGCAGTAATCAGCTTCCAATAACTCCATTTTGTAGATGTACCACATTTTCATTATCCACTCATCCATTGAGGGACACTTAGGTTGCTTCCATCACTTAGCTATGTGAAAAGAGCAGAAACAAGCATGATTATACAGGTATCTCTGCAATAGGGTACATGCCAAGGAGTGGTATAACCAGGTCATATGAAGGTTCATTTGTAGTTTTATGAGAGTTCTCCATACTGTTTTCCATAGGGGTTGCATGGGTTTGCAATCCCATCAGCAGTTCCCTTTTCTCTACATCCCAGCCAACATTTGGGATCATTGATTCTCTTGATCTTAGCCAGTCTGACTGGTTAAGGTGAAATCTTACAGTGGTTTTAATTTGCATTTCCCTAATTGCTAATGATGCTGAACACTTTTTTTAAAAAAATTTATTCATTATTTTTATTTTATGTGTATGTGTGCATTACCTGCATGTAGGTAAGTGCACCCATGTCATGCAATGCCTGTGGAGGCCAGAAGAGGCTGTCAGATCCCCTGGGACTGGAGTTACAGATAGTTGTTAGCTGCCATGTGGGTGCTGGGATTCGAACCCAGGTCTTCTGCAAGAACAACCAGTATTCTGAACTGCTGAGCCATCTCTCCAGCCCTGATGCTGAACATTTTTTAAGATGTTCCTTGCCCATCTTTATTTCTTCTTTTGAGAACTCTGTTTAGATCTTTAGCCCATTTTTTAATTGGGTCATTTCATTTCTTGCTCGTGTTTAGAGTTCTTTATATATTCTGGCTGTTAAACCTCTGTCAGTGTGTCACTGGTGAAGATGTTTTCCCACTTTGTGGGATTTTTTTCTTCACTTTCTTGGTTGTTTCTTTTGCTATACAGAAGCTTTTTAGTTTAATGAGTTCCCACTTAGTGATTGTTGAACTTAATTCCTGAGCAATTGATATCCGATTTAGGAATTCCTTTCCTACACCTATGTCTTGTAGGTTGTTTCCAATGTTTTCTTCTAACAGTTTCAGAGTTTCAAGTTTCACTGTGAGGGCTTTGATTCATTTGCAGTTGATTTTTGTGCATTCTTCTACAGGCGGAAATTCAATTTTGCCAGCATCATTTGTCAAAGATGCTGTCTTCCATTTGTGTTCTTGATAACTTTGTTAAATATAAGGCGGCTGAAATTGTGTGTACTCATGTTTGGGTCTTCAATTATGTTCCATTGATCTATGTGTCTACTTTTGTGCCAGTACCACACTGTTTTTATGACTATAGCTATGTAATATAGTTTGAGCTCTGGTATAGTAATTCTACCCAGCATTGTTCTTTGTGCTCAGGGTTGCTTTGGCTATCTGGGGTCTTTTGTACTTCCATATGAATTTTAGGATTTTTTTTTCTATTCTGTGAAATATGTCATGGGGATTTTGATTGGGATTGCATTGAATCTATATATTACCTTTGGTAGGATGGTCATTTTGATTCTTCCAATCCATTAGAATTGGACGTCCTTCCAACTTCTGATGTCTCCCTCAATCTCTTTCTTTAAAGATGTAAAATTTTTGTTGTAGAGTTCTTTGATGTTTTTGGTCAGGTTTATTCCAAGATATTTTATTTTACTTTTTTTCCTAGGCTACTGTGAATCAGAGGGTTTCTCTCTACTCTTTCTCCAATTGCTTGTTATTGGTATATAGAATGGCTACTGATTTTTGAGATTAATTTTGTAACCTGCCACTGTACTGAAAGTGGAAATCAGTTCTAGGAGTTTTCTGGTGGAATTTTTGAGTTGTCTTAGATATAGTATCACATCATCTGCAAAAAGAGATTTTTTTGACCTCTTCTTTTCCAATCTGTGCACCTTTAATTTCCTTCTCTTGTCTTATTGCTCTAGCAAGAGTTTCAAGCACTATATTGAAAAGGAGTGGAGATGGTCGACAGCCTTGTCTGGTTCCTGATTTTAATGGAAATGCTTCCAGTTATTTTTTCCATTTAAAATGATGTTGGCTGTGGGTTTGTTGTATATAGCTTTAATTATGTTGAGATATGTTCCCTCCAGTCCAATTCCCTATTGAACTTTTATCATGAATGTGTGCAGAGATTTGTCAAACACCTTTTCTGTATCTACTGAGATGACCATGTGATTTTTGTCTTTGAATCCATTTATATAATTTATGACATTTATTGACTTACATATATTGAACCACCCCTGCATCTCTGGAATAAAGAGATGTATGTGTCTGAATGCAGGTTGCAAGTATTTTTAAAAATTATTTATTTAATAACCACATACTTAGAAGAAGCATTTCATTACAACAGCATTGACATATTCCAGAGCTAAGATGCATCTCTTTCAAAATTGGCTATAATTTTTTAGGTTTACAGTTGAATTAGTATAGTTATACAATATTGTACTCAGGTTTTAATGCAATTGACATTAAGATGATTGCACTTGAGTTTCTAATCTCTATATATCTGATTACTACTAGTCACAGTTGGTTACTTTTTGAGCTCCTTGGCATCTGAGAATGGATATAAAGTCATCACATAGATTTCAATGGTAATGTTTTTCACATCTACTAATTATTAAGGAGCAAACTTTTATGCTTTGAAGAATTGTTCCATGGGACGACCACCAAGGACAGTGGCAGGTGTGGAATGGAGCTGGCTTGGGTCTGCAAGATGAGCTGAGTGTGCTGTGGACTGCAGAGTCAGAGCAGTGGAGCTGCCAGTACCCTTTGGAGCCCAGAGGATCATCATTTCATTATAACAGCATTGACATATTCAATAACAATTTCCTGAGCTAGAGTACATCCCTTTCACAGGTGGGTGCAAGTTTCTAAGTTCACAGTTGAATTAATGCAGTTATACAATATTGAACTCACTATAAGCCCTGTAAGACATAAAATTGAATGAGTTTTTAACCTTTAAAAAAGATCTCCATTTCATTTTAGAATATATTGTTCCTTGCAGAAAGATGTATTGTTTTTGCTACTAACACTGAGATGTTAGCGCATGCATTTCTAATCTGAATGTATCTGATTATTACTAGTCATAATTGGTTGCACTTGGATCCTTGGCACCTGTGTATGTCTATAAAGTCATTGGTAGATTTCAATGGTAATGTTTATCACCCTTACTAATTAACATGACATTTATTTCCATGCTTCCTCCTCAAATATAATACACTTTTTTAAATTTGTTGATTTTTTGTGTGTGTGTGTATATCACACAGAACATCCCAAACCATCTTAATCAACTATACACCCACTTCCCAGATGGCAGCCTCCCATAGCCTTCCTTCCCCCACTAGAGCCCTTATACTCTGATATCCCTGCTACTGTCTGCTGTATTGTCGACATCCCCAGCCATTCCCCACTACTTGCCCTTCCGGTGAATCTAGTCAGCTTATCTAGAGGTCTTTGTTTTAGGAGGGTCAGCTATTCCTCATATAGCAGCAATCATTTGTCAATATTCCTTTAGATAAGTTTGGGGTCTGCTGTTCATTTTCTCAGTTCTATGCTGGATTACTATCTGGCAGTCCCTTTGGCCACCTTGGCCAACAAATCAAAAGAAGGTATCTCCTATCTGGCATTGTTGCTTTTTATATAGCCTTTAGCTATGGATATGGACTCTTAAAAAATTGTATTGGCCCCTTTAATCTTTGGTTATACTTTCCTTTTGGGTGTTTATATCATTTTTATGTGTATGCATGTATTGCCTGCATGTAGGTAAGTGAACCCATGTCATGCAATACCTGTGGAGGTCAGAAGAGGCTACTGGATCCCCTGGAACTGGAGTTATGGACAGTTGTTAGCTGCCATGTGGGTGCTGGGATTCAAACCCGGGTCTTCTGCAAGAACAGCC